TCTAAGTCTAATGAAATAAATAAACAGAAGAAATGGCAAAACCTTTGCAAAGTAAAAATGTATTTCTCAAAGATTGATGATTCTTTGCATGTGAATTACAAAGTAAGACTGCTAGAGGCTGATATTTTCAAAGGTATCAGCAAATCTCTTTGGAAAAAATGAAGGTGTTTATGAAGTGAACAAAGTTATGAGCTTATAAGAAGAAACATAAAGAAAAGCAAGAGCAGCAAAGATCCAGAACAATTTCATAGACAGCGCTTTTTATTGTTTCAAATAAAGCACTGTGAAAATGGCATTTTTCTTCTGCTTTGTTAATACAAATGTTAATTAAAATGTTCAAAAGTTTATAGCTGAAGCTTTTAAAAATATACAGAAGCCACTCTTTCAAATAGTTTAATACACATTTTATAACCAAACTCTCAGTGAGGCTCCAACCTGAAGACATTAGTTGTATTGGAAAATTACAAAAGCTCAATTTACCATGGGAAAAATAGCTACATGTGTATAAAAGCTTTAAAGTTAAGTTTTATGTTTTCTGGAAAGCATCACTTCCACACCAATACTCTTCTAGCAGAAGTAGCTCTGGGACTCTCAAATGCTGGAAAAAGTTTCACTCAATAAGTAAATCCAGTAAAAGGTGCAATATCTTTTAAAAGAGTATGTTTACATTTGCATGCACTTATATCCCATTTTTTTTATGAAGTAGTCTCTTAATGAGTGTAATGACTAGCCATTAGTAACTAGAATGAATTACTAAGCAGAACTTTTGAAAACATTAATAGAATTACAGTAGGTGCCAGAGTACAACATTATGCTGACTATAGTGTATGTTTTATACATAGATCAGAAATCTATATTCCTAATATTATTTCATTAATCATAAGTTTGGTTTCTTGTCTACCCTACAAGTGGAGGGTAAATCACTTGATGCCACTGATTTACATTTGAGAGGCCCAGCTGAGTCTTTGTGGTGGTGGTGATGTGTTGTCAAAATTGTCAAGATGGTGACTAGAGCTTTGTGATACAAATTCCACCTTTTTAAAGTGTGTGTGCAACACTGATGCACCTACCACATGGACATGGATGCACAGACAAAAGGCCGAGGATACAGAAGTCATTGTAGATGCCTTTCCATGTTTATTCCTCCACACTCTTTTAAACAATTTTACAGGATATTGAATAAATTTCTTTGTCGAGGACACTCTGCAAGATTCTTTTTGCACAAATTACAACCACCTGTTGAGAAAGATGGCTTAACTTTCCAAACTTTCACGCTTATCATTGGGTACTTAACTTTAGTTACTACTATAAGGAACTTAGAACATAGCTCCAATAAGATATATTATTTGATGGTGCTGAAATCCTGAAAAGTACTGAGATCCCTGTTTGTGTGGGCATCAGCTTTAATACCTGTACTTGATGTTGCAAGACATATAAGGATGTGTCACAGATGTAATTTTGATCCATTACCCATGAAAACCTTACATTATAGGAAAATACCATTTTAAAAATGTTATGTAGATTTCTCATTCTCTCTCCCACCTCCCAATTTGTCTCTTTCGTAACATTATCACTTTGGATCTATCTGATTCAGAATAAGACATTTTAAAAGGTTTGTAGAATTAAGGAATGGGCTTGATTTAAACATTTGTTTTTCAACTTCACTTGGTTAAGTTCCACTGGTTAGAGATTCTGGAGATTTTAACTATGGTTTCTAAAGCAGTAATTCTTTTTTATAGGAAATTGATGAAACTGATCTTAGTTACTTGCATGACTGCTGGCTAATGAGTTTGAATATCCTCCTGGTTAAGCAATGAAACATCACTATGATCAATGAGAAATTAGATAATTAGCTTAAATGACATTAAAATGAAATTAATGCAATGAAAAATTATTTTGTGTATATTGGTTGCCTCAGAGAATGTTTTATAGGGATTTATTACAACTGAAATATTGTTGGGATGCAATTTAGTAGTTGGAATTATAAACTTATGATTTAATCTTGTCAGCCCAAAGTGTTACAATAACGTATCAACAAGATGGTTAACATGATTCTGGATCAATGAACATATGTTAAAGATGCTTTATCCAAGTATTCATCTTAGCTATATTCTTGGTTTTTGGAATCTATCAGATATTAAACATTTTCAAGCATCGGGATTAACCAAAACAATGACCACAGGACACTGGAAGAGGAAACCTACACTTCAGTTACAACAGTGGATTATTGATATGTGTTGTCTGTCAATATTTGAGTCAGTCTCCCTCTCTACAACAAAAGAATTAGTAATGACTTTTGAGAAATATGGCCACTACTTTAGGAATTGTTCTAACATAATTTTCCGGGGTCTTTTCCCTGTGTTTTCATTATAATTATGCTTAATTATAATGTTGTATTAATTCATTAATATTACTATATGTATTTATACTTTTGTTTCAGTAAGTAGTTTAGCATAATACAAAATCCCATCTAGTCCAGCATATCGATTATCTATTCTGATTGCAGGACATTCATATATATGAATGAAAACCTGTACAAAACTGATAAAATATTGCCAAGAAACCATAAACCAAGGCTTTGGTAGTGACATTGGTAATATCGTTTTCAATAATCAGTGGACAGCCCATATATGGTCAAATATTTTACCACCCTTAGAACACCTCCAACACCTGTGTCCGCATCCAATTTTGGTGGTGCTGTGATTGTTAAAAATTGGTGGCATGTTTTCCTGCCATTTTGAGGCAGTGAAGAGACTAAAACTAGTATCAGCCTTTAAATAGGCTTTAGAATTTTTTTTAAAGACATTGAAAAATGGAAAATCCTAATTTGTCTTGTTTTGTGTAATCTTGCCTACTGCAGCTTTCAGTGCTCAAATAAGTTTAAAGATATTTCCCTAGCATTCCAAAGGTTCCCTATCCCAATCTAGAGGGGGATGCTTGTTTTCTGAGAACTACATGAACAAAATGATTTAATTCTGGTTCAGAAATTGGGAAATTTCTGAACCAGAATTAAACTAAGTGTATAAGAGACATGTCCCTACTGCTACAATTTATAGTTCTGATAACTGAACGGTTGGGGAAACCTTGAAAAACATAAAGAATTTGTCCAGCCAGCTGGGCAAGATCAAGGGTTGTGGAAATCTCCATTTGCAGAAGGAGTTTGTTCTTAGCTGTATTCCCCAATTGATCAGGCTTGGGGAATATAGCCAAAGAAGGAAGGACTACTCAGATTTCAGTAAGGTATGTTTCATGCTAGCCTAAGGTAAATAGAGAATCTTGGAATCTGGAAGGGGAATTTCTCACCCTCATTTATAGTGGGTTAATTAAGGTAGAGTGTCTTTCAATAAATTGAATTGCTTCTTCCACTTGGGCTAAGTTGCCATTTATGAGATAACCTGCTAACTGACTTGGCCACTGTCTCTTGATTATTTATGTCCTCTTTCTCTTCTATTCTTTTCCCAGCTTCCCACGATCTTCCACACCATTCAATACACATCTATTACGGTGAGTGGAGAGTTTTAAGGACAAATTGAATAAATTTTTAAAAAATTATTTATTTACTTGTATTTACTTATTATATTTAGATACTGCCAGAACCCAAACAACAATAAAAACAAAGGAGTACAGATAAACGTACATTAAAAACTAGAAAAATCAAATCCATTATAACACTAAGAAAATAATCCAAAAGCATAAATGAGCATCAAGTAACTTCAGCTTCCAAAGGACCTTCAGAATAACTGTTTTAATTGCCTTTGAAGAGAAACAGGGTAGCCATTGAGCTAATTTCTGGGGCGAAAGCTAATCTGTAAGGTGGGAGACATCACTAAAAACAACTTCCTCTGGCCCACATTGACTTTACCTCTCACAGGATAGGAACCCGTAGCATACCCTTCCAAGATGAACATAGTGGACAGGTCAGTTTTACCTGGAGGAGGTTGTCCTGCATGTAGCTAGAAGCCAGGCCATATGGGTTTTAAAGTTTAAAATCAACACTTTGAATTGTATCTGGAAGCCTCCTGGCAGCCCATGCAATGCCTGCCCTATCGGTATGACTTGGCATATGTCAGCACGTAGAGGGGCTGCATTCAGCACCAGTTGCAGTTTAAGGGAGTCATTATTGTTTCTTTGGGGCAGAAAGAATACTGCTTGATAAAGAATTTTGAAGAGATGGAAATAGGAAACATTGAGTTTGAGATTCCAAATGAACACACACACACACACACGCACAATGGTGCCTCATGGAAGTGTGAACCAGTGTCCTCCAAAGCACCAGTTTAACACGATACCTCCCTCATATACAAAAACAATTCCACAAAAGTAGTTAAAGTATTCTGATATAATACAGTGGCTTTGTCTTAAGAGAAATCATCCTGATCAGTTTTTGAAACATAACTTTTCTGAAACCCCTTTGAGTAGAAATTCTGTGATTAGTATTTGTACAACTCTGGAATAAATGTCTATGAAATTATTAATGTAAAGCAGAAAAACAATTATTAATGTAAAGCAGAAAAACAATTAATAAAAACAAAATTAACTTTTCCTGAAATATAAAACCCTAAAGGCTTGTTGCTTGACACCTACAATTAATTAACCTCTGCTCTGTACTCCATGAAAGTGTTCACCAATGGGTATAACAGTCTTCAAAACAAATTAGAATCAAAATGATTTGCTTTTTTCAGTCTTTTATTATGTAAAGAATGAATAT